TACACTGGATATTTAAAGAGCCGTATATTTTTCGGTAAGTTCAGAACATATTCTACATGTAACCATATAGTAATAAAAACGAGCTGCTATTTTGTTCGTTTTTTTTATTTTGTTTGGTTGTTTTGTTTTTTGTACTTCCTTGTATGGTATTTCAAACACAGACCATTACATTTCGGCAACATAACAGCTCTGACAAAAATGGCAGAAACATCAACAATTAAAGTGATTAAGTGGACTACTTTTGATATTTACTCAAACATAAGGCTTGTTCACACCAAGAATGGTAAATATAAAGATAGGTTAAAATTTTAAAAAATGAAGTCCACATCACTACTATAATGATAACAGCACAGAAGAACGATACCATCACTTTAAGAAAGTTTTTTTCCAGCTAATGAACAATAAAAGCATTGACAGCTAATCAAATGTGGTGTTATTGTATGTAATCAGAAACAATACTGATGAACAGTATTTATGATTGTTGATAAACAGCACAGCTGCTAGCCACTGCAGTTCAGTTTACCTCCAAAATATTTTTGTTTTTGAGTTTTCATGAGGAGAGAGAGAAGGACACTGGCTCTAAAATGAGTTCTCCGTCTTCTGAATCAAGCTGTGATCAACCCATGAAGAACCTACCCTTTGCTTTTACTGATGCAACAGTGACTGACCCCAGGTAAGATACTAGCCATTACTGCATTAGCCAGATTATTTTTTCAAAGTAGTGATGCACCATAATATTTTTTACTGAAATACCAAAACTGAATTCATTTAGTGAAAACTGAAACTGAATCTATTAGTTTTAATCAATTAATTAATCAAATGTATTTAAACAATGCTCAAATATAAACAAATAAAATGCACATTAAACAGTTTTATATAAACTTCTTAATAATATGATTTTCCTACTCCAATTCATTGTTGAAATGTAAACATTTAAAGATTACTGTAATGTACTGTACTTCTTTTGAATTCATGAAAGATTTTTGCAAAATAATGAAGACATCACTAACAAGTTAAGAATATAATTAATATGTAATACAGTGCGTATATTTATCAAAATGCTCCTCTCTAGGTTTTTTTTTTCGTAGCTAAATAATGACATTGAATGTCTTTCCTGAGGTAAATGTAACATTATTGTTTACAACCTGTTTTATTGACATCTTTTCTTGTTTGAAACACTGACTGACGCATGCATGTGCATTCCTCTGCACGTAAACAACACATGCGTGTGGTGCTGCTGACATAGAACACGCATGTGCTGCGCCTTGTTTACGAGCAGAGGAATGCACACACATGTGTCATGGTACTCTCGATAATGACTTAAAGGAGAAGAATTGTTGAATAAAGTCGTTATTTTTATTTTCTTTGTGCACAAAAAGTATTCTCGTAGCTTCTTAAAATTGCGGTTGAACCACTGATGTCACATGGACTGTTTTACTGATGTCCTTACTGCATTTCTCGGTCTGGAAGCAATACCTGCCTGTCTCTAATAACTGCACTGAAAGCAGAAACGTATCAGCGAGCCAAACAACTTTTAGAGCATGACCCCATGACCACAGCTGTTTGACCCCATGTTAACAAGACTCTGCACCTATATACACTCAGGACGGACAGCGCGAGTGCCAGAGGAGTTAGTGCCGTTTGCAAGGATGCGGAATGAGCTGACATGTTGGGGTGATGTTTGTATTTCCAGGGGTCTTTGTACAGTAGTGCCAAGCAGCCTGTGTGCACGTGTCCTTTCAATGGCACATGAAGGACATTTGGGCATTGTAAAATTTAAGCAGAAATGCCGGGACCTGGTTTGACAAAATTAACACTACTGGTCAGGGACTGTGAACCGTGTCTCCTCAGTGGAAAGACTGGACAACCAGCCCCAACCCCTTTGCAGCCAGTCCCATGGCCTTGGGCACCTACAGCTAAGCAACTGTGGGGAAATTCATGGCCATGGAGTTCCATTCTACATAAATGTCCCGAGGTTGTGCCGGCAAGGATGGTTACTTCACAGAATATCTTGCAGATACCGGACAATCTATTTGCTCATTGGGGCGTGCCCCATGCCATAACTACTGACAACAGGCCCCAGTTAATTTCCGCAGAATTCTTAACCTTTCTCAGCAAATGGTTTTTATTTCCTTAAAAAAGCAAAATGTGACCCTGGACCACAAAACCAGTCATGAGGGTCAATATTTGGCCGGGATACAACTATTTGAAAATCTGGAATCTGAGGGTGCAAAAAAATCAAAATATTGAGAAAATCATCTTTAAAGTTGTCCAAATGAAGTTCTTAGCAATGCATATTACTAATCAAAAATTAAGTTTTGATATATTTACGGTAGGAAACTTACAAAATATCTTCATGGAACATGATCTTTACTTAATATCCTAATGATTTTTGGCATAAAAGAAAAATCAATAATTTTGACCCATACAATGTATTGTTGGCTATTGCTACAAATATACCCCAGCGACTTAAGACAAGTTTTGTGCTCCAGGGTCACAAATGACAGTGGGGGCGGTACTGCGTTGGGCAAGTAATGTATTCTGTGTACAACCGAACACCGGGTAATACCGGTAACACAGACTACCACAGCAAGCCTGATAGATAGATACTGCAATTAATCAATTAATAAAAAAAAAAATCATGTGCTGGTGCAACCAGTGGAAGAATAAGTCTAGAACCCTGTGGCTGTAATTACAAACCAGGGGTGAATGAAACTTTGATAACAGACACAAGGTCAGGCATACTAACATCAAGGTACTGAACTGGGTGTGAGTCCGCAGACCTCACCGTAGCAGCAAAATGGCATCGCCAGTTACAGCCCACTATGTTCCTGTTAAAGACAAGGGCGACACATGGGCCTGAGCATTTGATATTACTGTCATAAAACTTGTCGTACAGCTTCTTAAGGTGGCAAATTATAAATTTGTTACTATAGCTACAGAAGAAGGAGATGAATATCACTGAATGGTTTGAATTTGGATCTGTTCCTCACAGGTTTTGTAAATATATTGTTGTGTAAATAAATGTTCCTTATGCCAGCTTAATCAAGTGAGTTCTTTAATGGACTTTAAAATTGAAAAAATTTTCATAGATTTCTTAAGTCATGTTATATATGTATTATAATATATTTAATTAAAATGAAAGTAAATGTTTAGGCTAGGTATCAATTTTAAATTAAATATTAATGAACAGTACAGTAGATATAGAAATGAACTGGAACTGGCCCAAGTGCATTTTGCTGTCTGGGAAAGTATCACAAGGATACCAAAGATTTGGATTACAGCACACAAATAAAATACTTTTATGATCATTGTTTTGTATGTTTGTGTATGGCAGCATATTTTCTTTCTATTCTGTTGTTTTATATACGCATGTATGGATGCATGTACCCCAGAGCTCCTGGAAACCACAACAAATTATTTGTGTGTTTGTGCATTCCTGGCAAATTCCTGATTCTGTTTTGTCCATTGTCACTATCAGCAGGTGGAAGAGGCTGAGATCAGAGTCTCCAGAACCCAGTGGTGTGTCTGTGAAGAGTAATGCATCTATGATGTATCCCCCTGCACTGAGTGAAGCAACAGTGACCTCTGACCTCAGGTAAGACACTTGCCATTTTTACACTTGCCAGATGCTTTTTTTTTATTGACTTACACTGAATTCCAGAAGCCTGCAGTCGGTGGGTGAACAGTACCTCATATAGTAGCATCACAGAGAGGCACAAAAATCACTTTCCTGAACCTGCACTTTCTGAATCTCGGAACTGTAATTTGGTCTGGATAAATGTGTCTTCTAAATAAATAAATGTAAAAGTATAGTGCATTCAAGCTATACATTAAGACAGGAATCAGTGGTTGAGATCAGAAATTGACAGCAGACAGGCCTAATATGCCATTGTCACTATCAGCAGGTGGAAGAGGCTGAGATCAGAGTCTCCAGAACCCAGTGGTGTGTCTGTGAAGAGTAATGCATCTATGATGTATCCCCCTGCACTCCGTGAGGCAACAGTGACCTCTGACCCCAGGTATGACACTAGATGTTTTTTGCATTTGTCAGATTATTTTAAACAAACGGCTTATTGTGTATTCCAGCAACCTACACACACACACACACACACACACAAATCACTTTCCTGACCCTTCACTGTTCCTCGCTATTGAATGAATACCAGATCAGTATCATTAGGGGACATAAATCAGGTTTGGCAGGATATACCCCAAATACCCAGCTGTGTGTCTGTGTAGAGAAACAGTGATGAATTCAATGATGCAGTGACCTCTGACCCACCGTTAGCATAAGCATTTACTTCCTAATTTACTGTAGTACATCCCAGATGAATAATAATTTAAGAAATTCAATGAAATAACACTAAATGTGCTACAAAATATGCATCACAGGTACTGCACAGGGGTTACAAAATCATATCCATTAATCATGTGATGGTCTTCAGCAGTCATTGTAATCACTGTCATTTGATGCTCTTTTCTTTTTAATTTCAGCAGGAGGGAGATATGTGATCTGATCAGATCTGTGCCGTCCTCTACATCCCACTATCAGACCCACATCAGGCAAGAAAGAACTGAAGCAGTCCTGCAGACACACACACTGAAGACTGCAGACCTGCAGAGAGTCAAAGACCAACACAAAACCAGCATAAAGATCAAATATGAGAGATTATTTGAGGGAAATAAACTCCAAGAGAATGAAACCCTCCTGAACAGGATCTACACACAGCTCTACATCATAGAGGGAGAGAGTGAAGGAGTGAACGAAGAACATGAGGTTTTACAGATGGAGAAAACAGCCAGAACACAATATTTGCACTGAGATCTTTAAGGAGGAATCTGTGATTCATCAGAGGAAAGTCTACAGCTTCATCCATCTGAGCATTCAGGAGTTTCTTGCTGCTTTCTATGTGTTTTACTATCACGTATACAGCACTGCAGAAGCATGTTTTGATTCACTGGAAAATCTCCATGAAAGAGTGGCTGGTAAGGCTGTAATGAACAAAAATGGACAGCTGGATCTGGCCTACATTCTTCAGATGTCAGAGGAGCCACTGGATGAGCTGGACCTCAAGAAATACAACACATCAGATGAGGGGAGAAGAAGACTGGTACCAGCTGCGATCAACTGCACAAAAGCTCTGTAAGTGTTAAATCATTTTACAGTGAAGAGTCACTTCTGAATTAAATTAGTTTTTGTTGTTGTGATAATACATCTTGAATGTATTTTACTTATTTTCACAGTAGGAAGTCAACTAAAATGAGAAAACAAACAAGTAGCCACGATTTAACGAAAACAAAGTAACTAAAATACTAAAAATTACTAATAAAGGGATGAATTAATAAAAAACATACATTAACAAATTAAAAATATATAATTTTGTATTATCTTTTTTATGCATGTAGAGTGTGGTAAATTGTGGCAATGTGTGGTGTTGTCACAAATCAGGCCTCTGTGGCTCTCTCCGACCGCCACCGGAGGGCACCCTCTCCTGAGTACTAGCATTCATGGACTCCATTTCCCATACACCCCGTACCTGGGACTGATTACTGGCACAGGTGTTTCCCCTTAGCTTCCCCATTTAAGCTGCATCCGGACTCTTAGTTTTCGTGAAGTCTTGTTTTGCCACGGCTAACATCTCTGAGTGTTTATCCCCTGTCTATTTGATCTCTCGTGTATTATCTTGGATTGTTCATTCTAGTGTGATTCTCTGCCGCCTGCCCCGACCCTCGCTCTTTTACTGTTTACTCTCCTGGATTGTCCCTGTTGTTCCTGACGCCGTTGATTGATTACTGCCTGTTTGACTCTGCTATTTATTTAATAAAAGCTGCAAATGGATCCACACGCCTCTGACCCCTCATTACACAAGACTTCACCGAACACAGATCCAGCAGCTCTTTATAAGCTCACCACCGAGGTTTCTGCCCAAGCCTCCATGTTAGCCTCTCATCAACAACAGCTGCGACTCCCCTCGCTCACGGAAGAGATGGTGAGGACGCTACAAGCCCTTCGCGTCACCATGCCTGAGCCCAACATTCCTCCATCCGTTCCGTCACAAACTATTCCCAGTCCCAGTCACTCATCTACCAGCCCACGTCTGGCATTTCCCGAGAAATTCGACGGCTCACCGGAAAGATGTAAGGGCTTTCTATTACAATGCTCCATGTTTGTAAATCAACAACCGCAGTTATACCCCACCGAAGATAGTCGGGTTTCGTTTGTTTGCTCATTGTTGACTGGACGAGCTCTGGACTGGGCCACTGCTGCTTGGGAGGGGAGACGGCTGTCATTTCCATCATTTGACTGCTTTCTGAGACGTTTCCGCAAGGTTTTCGAGAATTCAGCGGGCGGAAAGGAGCCTGAAGAACAGTTACTCGCTCTACGACAAGGACGAAGCACAGCTGCGGATTATGCTCTCTCATTCCGCACCCTCGCAGCACAGTCAGGATGGGAGGACGAACCACTTAAACTGCTGTATCGCAAGGGACTCACTGCCGAGTTAAAGTCAGTACTCGCCTGCCATGACGAGGGGAAGACCCTCGAACAATTCATTGATCTCTCCATTCGCATTGATAATTTAATGTGTGCACGACATTCCCCTCACCACATTCCTGTGTATACTCAAGCAGTCACAGTTTCCTCTGAATCGGAACCCATGCAGATTGGTTTCACTCGCCTCACAAGTGAAGAACGAGATTCGGGGGCTGCGGGAAATTTCATTGACATAAGGTTTGCCAACACCCATAATCTCCCTCTTGTTCCATGTGAATCCCAGGTGGCAGTGGCAGCTTTAGATGGACGTCCTTTGGGCACAGGACAGGTCAAGTTCATCAACAAGGATCTGTGTCTCTGAACTGGCATACTTCACACGGAAACCATCCGCCTATTCGCCATTGAATCTCCTCAGAATCCCATCATCCTTGGCCTGCCCTGGCTAGAAAGACACAACCCCCGAATTTCATGGACAAGTCAAGTCAAGTCACCTTTATTTATATAGCGCTTTTAACAATACAGATTGTGTCAAAGCAACTGAACAGCATTAATTAGGAAAATAGTCTAGAGGTAGAGTTTTCCCACTATCGCAACCAGAATCTGAGGCCATGAAGTCATATATTGAGGAGGAGCTTTCAAAGGGGTTCATTAGACCATCCATCTCACCTGCGTCAGCTAGCTTTTTCTTTGTCAAGAAGAAAGAGGGAGGTCTCCGACCATGCATTGATTACCGCAGTCTCAATGATATAACAGTCAAATTCCGTTACCCTCTACCTCTAGTCCCAGCAGCTCTGGAGCAACTTCGCACTGCTAAATATTTCACCAAGCTCGACCTTCGCAGCGCCTACAATCTGATTCGCATCCGGGAGGGAGACGAGTGGAAGATGGCTTTCTCGACAACGTTAGGGCACTATGAATATCTCGTTATGCCGTTCGGATTGGTCAACAGTCCTTCAGTCTTCCAAGCTTTCATTAACGATGTTATCCGTGACATGCTGAACCAAGGGGTCATAGTCTACATTGATGACATCTTGATTTATTTGGATACCCTGGACTCCCATGTGCAGCACGTGCGGGCAGTTCTTCAGAGGCTCATTGATAATCAACTATATGCCAAGATTGAGAAATGTGAGTTCCACCAGACAGTTACCTCTTTTCTTGGTTACATCATTAGCGCTGAGGGGGTAGCTATGGATAACAAGAAATTACAGTCTGTGCTCAACTGGTCTCAACTGACTACTGTAAATGAACTACAGCACTTCTTGGGCTTTGCAAATTTCTATAGACGTTTCATTCGTGACTTCAGCACCATTGCAGCACCTCTCACCTCCATGCTAAGAGGAAATAAACGACGTCTACTCTGGTCATCATCTGCCACCATGGCATTTCAACAGCTAAAGGAAAGTTTCACCTCGGCGCCCATTCTTCACCATCCTGACCCTGAATTAGAGTTCTTCGTGGAGGTGGATGCATTCAACACAGGCATCGGAGCCATACTCTCTCAGCATCAGGGTAATCCTCCCAAACTCTTCCCCTGTGCCTTCTATTCTCGGAAACTCAACTCTGCTGAGCAGAACTATGATGTTGGAGATCGGGAACTTCTAGCCATGAAAGCAGCCTTGGAGGAATGGCGTCACTGGTTGGAGGGGGCCAAACTTCCCTTTGTTGTTCTTACGGATCACCGCAACCTCGAGTACCTCAGATCGGCCAAACGACTCAATCCATGGCAGGCAAGATGGTCCCTATTTTTCACACGTTTCAATTTCAAGGTAACCTATCGTCCTGGCTCAAAGAATTCTAAGGCAGATGCTCTCTCCAGGCAGTTCGAATCAGCTCAGATCCCATCATCCAAGGAACCCATAATCCCCTCTAACCTCATTCTCGCTCCTATCCAATGGGACATTATGACAGAAATTGCAGAGGCCCAGATCAGTGAACCCCCTCCGTCAGAATGTTCTCCTGATCGTACCTATGTTCCTCCTAGCCTTCGTCATCGTGTGATGCAATGGGTCCATAACTCCCCCAGCGCAGTTCACCCAGGAATTACGGCCACCATTCAACTCATCTCTAACCGGTTCTGGTGGCCCACTCTCCAAGCGGATACCATTAATTTTGTTCATCAGTGTACCATTTGTAACGTCTCCAAATCTTCCCACCAGCGCCCAGCAGGTCTTCTTCAGCCACTTCCTGTTCCCCAACGGCCATGGTCACACATAGCTATAGACTTTGTCACTGATCTCCCCAGCTCAAGGAACTATACCACCATCCTAACAGTAATTGATCGTTTCTCCAAGGCATGCCGTCTCATACCCCTAAGTAAACTCCCCACAGCCTTTGAAACAGCAGAGGTACTCTTCGAACAGGTCTTCCGTTTTATGATGTAGGAGATCGGGAACTTCTAGCCATGAAAGCAGCCTTGGAGGAATGGCGTCACTGGTTGGAGGGGGCCAAACTTCCCTTTGTTGTTATGACTGATCACCGCAACCTCGAGTACCTCAGATCGGCCAAACGACTCAATCCACGGCAGGCAAGATGGTCCCTATTTTTCACTCGTTTCAATTTCAAAGTAACCTATCGTCCTGGCTCAAAGAATTCTAAGGCAGATGCTCTCTCCAGGCAGTTCGAATCAGCTCAGATCCCATCATCCAAGGAACCCATAATCCCCTCGAACCTCATTCTCGCTCCTATCCAATGGGACATTATGACAGAAATTGCAGAGGCCCAGATCAGTGAACCCTCTCCGCCAGAATGTTCCCCTGATCGTAACTATGTTCCTCCTAGCCTTCGTCATCGTGTGATGCAATGGGTCCATAACTCCCCCAGCGCAGGTCACCCAGGAATTACGGCCACCATTCAACTAATCTCTAACCGGTTCTGGTGGCCCACTCTCCAAGCGGATACCATTAATTTTGTTCATCAGTGTACCATTTGTAACGTCTCCAAATCTTCCCACCAGCGCCCAGCAGGTCTTCTTCAGCCACTTCCTGTTCCCCGATGGCCATGGTCACACATAGCCATAGACTTTGTCACTGATCTTCCCAGCTCAAGGAACTATACCACAATCCTAACAGTAATTGATTGTTTCTCCAAGGCATGCCGTCTCATACCCCTAAGTAAACTCCCCACAGCCTTTGAAACAGCAGAGGTACTCTTGGAACAGGTCTTCCGTTTTTATGGACTCCCTGAGGACATTGTCTCGGATCGTGGCCCTCAGTTCACTTCCCGAGTTTGGTCTGCGTTCTGCCAACGCCTCAACATTAACGTC